ATTTCCCTGACGATCCGTTTTGGTGAAATACATATATATATATATATATATATATATATATATATATATATATTCTAAAGGTGTCACTTTTATTAAATATCCATAAAAATAATGTATAAAATTATAAAAATCTGTCGGATTAATAAATGGGAAAACTATTTTTACTTTGTAAAATTGCTTGATTTGTTTCGATAAGATACTGGGCAAATATGTAAAGAATTTTGCTTAAATGCACTGCTCAGACCTTACGTCATCGGTAGGGATTCTTCGTGGCCGTGTCGGTTATGGCACTACGGATGTAACTACGATTTTAGCCTGCCCAAAGGGAAGCATGTTCAAATACTATCGGAAAGCGCATATTTTTCCTTAATGACATTTCTCGAAAATTCAGGCCGATAGATGAAAATAAAACATGTGTAATAAATAAATGGAACATCTACTCAAATATGAGTATCCATATATATATACACACACACACACACACACACACACATATATATATATATATATATATATATATATATATATATATATACTAAAATCATATTCTGCCTCACACACACATATATATGTATATACATTTCAGCGAGTGTGGATGTGTATATCCAATCTAAAGAAATAATGCAAACATTCTTGTGCATATATAAGGATCAATAAGTGATTAATAATCATCCCTGAATACTGCATTGACATAGAATGAGATTAAAGGTTGTTTTCATTATTATCTTATGTACTTATTGATATGCGTTCATATATATATATAGATAGATAGATAGATAGATAGATAGATAGATAGATAGATAGATAGATAGATAGATAGATAGATAGATGAGACTACTCATGAAAGAAAGAAAAAAATAGAAAGAAAAAAGGGACTTATATATAAAAAATTATCTATCTTAGCTAGCTAGCTAGATAGAAAGATAGATACGAACAGACTGAGATAGATAGATAGATAGATAGATAGATAGATAGATAGATAACAAAATGAGATAATAGATAGATAGATAGATAGATAGATAGATAGATAGATACGAACAGACTGAGATAGATAGATAGATAGATAGATAGAAACAAAATGAGATATCGATAGATAGATAGATAGATAGATACGAACAGACTGAGATAGATAGATAGATAGATAGATAGATAGATAGATAGATAGATAGAAACAAAATGAGATATCGATAGATAGATAGATAGATAGATAGATAGATAGATAGATAGATAGATAGACACTCAGTCTACTCGTTAGCGAAAGAAAGAAATGGACTATAGAAAAAGAATGTAAAAAAAGAAACAGAATTAGATGGATAGCTGGAAGCAGACCGAAATAGATAGATAAATATTAACAACGTGAGATAGATAGATAGATAGATAGATAGATAGATAGATAGATAGATAGATAGATAGATGTGCAGCGATGTAATGTGTATGCTTCCTAGTACAATTAAAAGATTGTAAACATCACTATTATACCATGAATCATTTTAGATGAGCGTTGATAGATAGAAAAAGATATCAGTATTTTCGTTTCTGGGTGTAAATTTTTCATTATGGCCCTATCGCTGTTTTTCGCAAAAATATAATTTTAATGTCTGAAATTGAAGCAGTATTTGAAGAATTTGACCAAGTTGCCGTCTTATTATTTTAAGGAAGTCAAAGCTACTGTCCAAAAATCAATATGATAAGTCAAGGGAGCCTCTCTTCTCAAACCAACCACCTTTATCGTCAAATGACAAGCGAAAGATGCAGCATGTTTATTCGAAGGAGATACGATGCCTATCTGCTTATTTATGCGGACGAATATGAAAAAAAGACGAAAAGTAGGAAGCAGTTCGGAGAGGGGCGCTGTTATCATTGTGTTGTATGAATTTGCATTCATATGAAGGATTTTCTTTCCACGTTAGATACCAGAATTTTGAGGGTGTTTTTTTTTGGTTGTTTTTTGTTTTTCTTCTTCTGCTTTGCTTTTTTTTCTATAAATGCGTACGGAAATGGTTCGTAGTCTCAGCTATAGATGTTTGTTCAATTTTGATCAAAAGCTTTCATTGTATAGTGCGCAATCTATGCGATCATTCAAGTAGCATTAAATTCAGGGCATTGGCAAAAAGATAGATTATATTGATTATTTTTATTAAAATACTAACTTATTCACACACACACACACACACACACATACATACATTATATATATATATATATATATATATATATATATATGATATTATGCTCTACTTTATATTGAGCACTTTTAAAAAAAAATAAATGCAACAAACTGGGGATTTTATTCCATCTGTTCTTTTTTCGTATTTGTGTATATATATATTGTATATATATATATATATATATATATATATATATATATATATATATATATATATATATATATATGTATATATATATATATATATATATATATATATATATATATATATATATATATATATATATATTATATATATATATATATATATATATATATATATATATATATATAATATTATGGTTAATACACACACACACACACACATATATATATATATATATATATGGGGTGTATGTATATATATATATATATATATATATATATATATATATATGGGGAGTCGTAAAAATTGATCAATAGGTCCATAACCTGACAGAGTGTTTTTAGAAATAGGGAGAGAGATAGTTGCACATAGAAATCAACACTGCATAGTGACTGTCTTTTTCATATTTCCATGCAAACTTAAAACTATCTATCCATATATATATATATATATATATATATATATATATATATATGTGTGTGTGTGTGTGTGTGTGTGTGTGTGTGTGTGTGTGCGTGTGTGTGTTACCTCCAAAGAAAATCGATCCTTAATGTTTGAAATGTGTTTTTAAAGGAAAAATCATTCTTGAAGTTTTTTATTTTATTTTCTTTTTAATTTCAAGCGAATAGATTAAATTTAATCTTTCCAACAAGAGAAATATTTTGCTGTATTTAAAACTGATTTTAAATTTATTGAAATTAGTTTGTTTGTTTTTTTTATTATCAGTAAAACATTAAAATCATCCATATTCACAAAGTTGTCAACATGTAATTCTCTTTAATAAAAAATCTTTGAAAAATGAAATACACTTTTCTAAATCTTCATTTTAGAAAGGAAAATTATATCATTTAAAGTTTAATTAATTTGATTTGCAATTTTATCTTAAAACATTTTAAAAGAAAATCATTTTTTTAACATGGAAGTGCGTATAACAGGGACGTCTCTTTCATATAATTTTTTAAATGCCTAGTAATCTTTAAAGTTTAAAAAAAGATACTAAGCTATATAATACTTTACTGAATATTTGGTAAAATCGTACTTAATTTGTAAGTAAGACTATAAAACGTATGGACTTTATAGTCATGCTTACGATGACACTTCTGAAGGAAAATTTTAAAAAATTACCAATAAATTTTAACTTTATTGTTGTTACTGCTCTTATTGTCTGATAATGTCGTGTGTGCACGTCCGAATTTACATAAAATAAAGTGAAAATGTTTTGTTTTTTTTTTAAATATTGGGGGTCGTTGAATTGTAGTAAGCTTTTCCATTTATGATTAATAAATAAAATTTAATAACAATATTGCTTGGCAAATTAATAGAGAGTTTTAAAAGATTTTAAAATTTATAAATTATTCTAATTAAAATTTTAAAAATGAAAACAATTTTTATAAAATTCATTATTCATCGAAAACATTTTTTTTTTCTGAAGACAATATTGTAGATAATATATTTTATGCATAAAAGATATTAAAAGCTTTTCTAATTGAATAAGAGCTTACTTTTATTGCATTTTTATTTTTATTTTATGATCCAGAGAAGAATTTATGTAACTGGGGGTCCTGTTTGACCAAAAAAAAAAATTGATGAATTCTCCAGAAAAGAATTTCTTGAAATTTCATAAAATTAAATAAGGGAAAACCGACGTAAAAAATATTTTCCCAAAGAATTTCTAAAAAGAAAAAAAAAGGAGAAGTTTCAAAGATAATTCTATTTCTCTGCGAATGGGTCCTGAAAGTATCATTAAGATCCGACAATTATCTGTGATTTTTGCAAGAATTTCCAAATCAGTTCATTTTGCACCACAAAAAAAAAAAAATTCCCATACCAATTTATGGCACAATCTTGATACCGGAGAAAGATGATTTTCAACCAGAATTTTGAAGGTTCCTAAAGAGATTAAAAAAGTATAATTTTTACATCAAAATATTATTTGATCTTTTCTCTTAATAATAACATCATGATTTTGACGATAAAACTTTGTTTTTTTTTTAAGTGTTGACGCTTTTTATTAAGGGTTGAGCATTTTTATTAAGTGTTGAGTATTTTTTAAGTGTTGAGTATTTTTTTAAGTGTTAAGTATATTTTTAAGTGTTGAGCATTTTTATTACGGGTTGAGCATTTTTATTAAGTGTTGAGTATTTTAATGTGTTGAGTATTTTTAAGTGTTGAGTATTTTTATCATGTATGCTTATTTTTAACGAATTTTGGAAGTATATATAATATTACTAAATTATAATCACTTAAGTCGTGAACTGCTTGTCTTTATATTTATATATATATATATATATATATATATATATATATATATATATATATATATATATATATATATGGGGTGCAAGGTTAATCAATAAATCTGTAGCCTAGTTCAGCCTTTTTAGTTTTTTTTAGTTGGCATATAATATCCGATTTATGTACTCTCTGAAGAACGTAGGAGATTAGGCTGAAAACTAAGCGTCCCTTTGTCCAAAATAAATGCCATTTTAAAATCATTTAACTACGAACTTATTGATGCAAGCAGGTTCGTATCAATAAACATGAATCTGCATATACGATACTTGCTGTATGCGTGCCTGTGTGTGCATGTGTGTGTGTGTGTGTGTGTGTTTACTGCTTTCTATGCCAATGACTGGCGTGGAGGGGATGAAGGATGAAATGCGAGGCACTAGTGTCAGGTTCCAATCGATGAAGATCAAGGTCACACTCGTTGTTTATTGTTGGCATCAGCGTTTATTCGCACACCCCCACACGCACACACGCACTTGGTGCCCGGTTCATGACACCCCAGTTGTTCACAGTCCTTCTCCTCTCTTTTCCTCTTACGAAACTAAACCCTTACCTTTCCCCCTCCACACTCTATTTGTTTTCCAAATCCTTTCTATCTTCTCTTTCTTTCTATCTATTCCATTCACTTCGTTCTCTCTCGTTTTATTTCCTCTCTCTCTCTCTCTCTCTCTCTCTATCTATCTATCTATCTATCTATCTATATATATATATATACATCTTTTTTGTTTTCTGTTGTTCTTTTTTTTCGTTCTCTTTTTTTTTCATATCAATCTATTCTCTTTCTTCCTCTCTTCCTACCCCTTTCCATCTCTCTAATAGACTCTCTCCCCCTCTCCTCCGTATCTTGCACCATCTTTCTCTCTCACTTTTTCCTGTCTCTTCTTTCTCGACAGCCTTGTTTACATTCTGCTTTCGATTCTTACTCTCTTAATTCTTCACTATTTCCGACCTCTTTCTCTTCCCTCCCTAATGTTTTACACTTTCTTCTCATTCTTTATCCCCTCCCTATTCTCTGTCATTCGCTCTCTATTTCCTCCTACTCGCTACTATTTGATTTTACTCTCTCTCTCTCTCTCTCTCTCTCTCTCTCTCTCTCTCTCTCTCTCTCTCTGTGGAGGGGTTCTTTTTATTTTAATTCTTACACTCCGCTTCTTCCTCAACGTTGCATCTTCCAGACTATCTTTATCGATCTTTTCCACTCCCTTGTATTTAACTGTACCCACTCTCTTTTATTCTCTTTTTGTTTACTCTCTTTCTTTATCTCTGACTCTCTCTCTCTCCCATATCTATCTATCTATCTATCTATCTATCTATCTATCTATCTATATATATATATATATATATATATATATATATATATATCTTAGCGATGGCTCCTTTTCCATCAATGTCTAGACGTAAACGCACGCTGATATTTCGACACTGACAAAATCAGACACCTGTACATATATATAGACACTCCGAGATAAAATATATAGTCGAATACAAGTTAATAGGCGATCAATTAACTTAGCGTTCAAATTATTACGGATACATACTCACACAAACAAACACACGCCATATATATATATATATATATATATATATATATATATATATATATATATATATATAAGACGAAATATTATGCTGCTTATCTTATATATAAGAAAATATGTGTTGAAAGAAAGAAAAAGAAAGGAAAAAATAGTACAGAAAGAAAGAACAAAAGAAAGAAAGAAAGAAAGAAAGAGAGAAAGAGAGAAAGAGAGAAAGGGAGAAAGAAAGAAAAACTCAGCCTCCCCAAAATATCCGAAGCTACCCGTAATTACGCCTGTACGAACAAGATATATTTGATACACTTCTACAAACAGGAAGAACACACATTCATTCTTGTATGTTAATACACCCGTGTACTCATTTCTATACATACTTTCCACATACTCTTATACACATACGCAGATCAAAACATACCAATTATACACACACACACACACACGTGCACGCGCGTAGAGACAAACAAACACACGAATTGATCCAAACTGACGCAAACTCAAGCCTTTTCCATACACACACACGCACGCTGAAACATGTAAACAGGTAGCGCACCCACACACACACAGACGCACAACCATACCCCCGTACACATGTCGAGGCACACAAGCACATAAACACGTGCCCCACGCCCCTACCCTGCCCTGATCAGACAGGCATACATTTAATCTGTGTAGCTTTACGTTCAAAACAACATTCCATAGCATTGGGCCCCATCATAACATGTGCGTACATCCTTCCATGAGGCAGGGACCCTCTGTCTCTGGGTCTAAAACCTGTTGAAGACAATTATGAAATGCAGACAGAAGAGAAGATAGGGACTGGACCGAGAAAGGGCGCATCCAAAACAAGAGACGGTGAGAAGCAAAAAGATCAAAGTTAGAATGGAAGAGAGAAATGTATATATATATATATATATAGAGAGAGAGAGAGAGAGCGAGAGAGAGAGAGAGGAGGAGAGGAAGGAGAGGAAAGGAAAGGAGGGCGTGAGAAAGATAGAGAGAGACAGGGGCAGACAGAGAGAGATTGAGAGAAACCTGAAAAAAGAGGAGATTGTGTATTCTGGTGTGTGTGTGTGTGTGTGTGTGTGTGTGTGTGTGTGTGTGTGTGTGAGAGAGAGAGAGAGAGAGAGACAGAGACAGAGAGTAAAAGCGAGAGACAAGAAAATAATTTTTTTCTGTGCTGGGTAGAGAGTGGTCAAAATGGAAAAAATATGAAGAGGATGAAAGACTGAAGGAAAGATGTACACAAGTAAAGAGAGAAAAGGAATTAGAAGAGGAGGGGGAGTGATTTTTCGACAAGCTCAGTGACATGTGCACATAATAGACAAGACCCGCAAGAAAGAAAGAAAGAAAGAAAGAAAGAAAGAAAGAAAGAAAGAAAGAAAGAAAGAAAATTGTAAATAAAAGAATAAAAGAGACTGATTTATGAACGAAATCAAAGAAAAAAAAAGAAGCCAGCAAGTAAAATGAAAGGAATGAGAAAATGAGAATAAGGAATATAACATTTTCGAAAAAGAAAAAAAAAAGATGGCAAAAGAGAAAAAGAGAGAGAGAGAGAGAAAGAGAATGAGAGAAAGAGGGAGAGAGAGAATAGATTGATGAAAAAAAAGAGGATGAAAGGAAAATTCGTACAGACAAAGAAGGTATAAGAATAGAGATTGAGCGGGAAAGAAAGGGTGAAAACTGATAAAGGAAGATGAAAAAGAATAAAGAGGGAGTAGAGAGATTAGAGAGAGATAAAATGACGAAAAGAAAGAAACGCTGAGATATCGGAAGGAAGATCAAAACGGAATGGAATATATGTGAGAGTATTAGAGAGGAAAAAAAAAAGAGAAAGACAGATGAAGGTAGAAAGAGAGATAGAAAGGAGAGGGAAAAAGAGACAGAAAAGAGAGAAAAAGAGAGACAGAAAGGAGAAGGAAAGAGAGCGGAATGAGAGGGAAAGAGAGGCAGAAAGGAGTGGGAAAGAGAGACAGAAAGGAGAAGGAAAGAAAGCGAAATGAGAGGGAAAGAGAGGCAGAAATGAGTGGGAAAGAGAGACAGAAAGGAGAGGGAAAGTAAGCGAAATGAGAGAGAAAGAGAGGCAAAAAGGAGTGGGAAAGAGAGACAGAAAGGAGAGGGAAAGAGCGACAGAAGGAGGAGAAAAAGAGAAACTTTTCTGTCAAAAGAAAGATGCAAAAAAGAAGTAAAATAAAGAAAGAGAGAGATCCGATTAAGAAATAAGTAAATCTGATGATACATACATATATATATATATATATATATATATATATATATATATATATATATATATATATATATAAATAAATGTTGGGGTGTGGAGATTATATATTTCGTGAGAAAGAAAATACGAGAAACAAGAAAGTTCAATTTTTTGTTTATGTAAATATATTGAATTGAAATGTTATTTTTCCCCAGTTTATACTGAAACCAACGCAGACATTCGAAAACGTAAACACGTACACATGTGTACTGTTTTTTGTTGTTGTTTTTATTTTTCAAGATATATTTATATATAAATAAGAAATGTACGTATCGATGTATTATGTGATAACTAAATGTTATCAGATACAAACAGCAAAAGCTCATTCAACCATAGATAGATAATTGTAAGTATCCAAAAAAAATTCATTCCTCTCTCTCTGTTATCTGGCTATCTCGAAATTTATGGTATTTACTTACATTTCATAATTTTACGATTTAATATTACGATTTTGACGCGTGTATGTTTCAAATATGACTCTATTAAGATGCTGGCACGTTTTAGCAAATACAAAAATACATGCCTTCTTTTCCTCCATACACAGGGTCCATAAAGTTCGTGTGCACTTTATAAAATTTATAACTTTATTTGTATTTGCGATAGAAATAATTTGTACAAAAGGATTAGAAGGAAGAAAAAAAGGTAGTTTTTTAAGGTTTTTTTGAAATTTTATTTAAGTTTCCACATGTCCTCCATCATTAGCAACACAAAGGGTAATACGATTTTGCAGTTCACGGAAAACATTTGCCAACTGATTTACAGTAATGCCTGAAATCAGATTAGTTATTTTAGCTATACTTAAAACTAGGTACATTAAACTTTATAACATTTTTTACAGATTATATCTATCGCAAATACAAATAAAGTTATAATTTTTTTAAAGTGCACACAAACTTTATGGACACCCTGTATATAAGTGTATTTGTCAGCATAGCAAAACATATCCCTATATATATATATATATATATATATATATATATATATATATATATATATATATATACATGGGGATATGTTTTGATATATATATATATATATATTCGAATATATAAAAAAAATAAGCGTCGATAAGGTCAGATATGTTTCGACAATTTTTTGCTGATAATCTTATTTGTGTGTTTATGTTAAGCTACGACTTTTCGATTTGTGATTGGGTGGGGGGGCTTTATTATTATATTACGAATAATGTAATCATTCAATTTTCTATTGCTGTTAAGATTAAACGAACAGTTTCTTTAAATAAATGCAAACATGTCTTCGTTTAAAAGCTTTTCTGATTATTCGCAAATAGTCACAGATCTACGATCTATATAATTCTCCTATTCACAAACACCTTATATATATATATATATATATATATATATATATATATATATATATATATATATATAATTTTATTATTTACATTATAGTCATTAAGCCTAATTACTTTAGAAGGAATATATATATATATATATATATATGTTCGTATATATATATGTATATGTAGATTCATATATATATATATATATATATATATATATGTGTGTGTGTATGTATGTATGTAAGTGTCTATATATTTTGTAAAGGATGATAGATGGATTTTTATTTATTAATCCTACAGATTTTTATTTCTTAAACGTTATTTTTTGTGGATACTCGTATTTGACTAGACGTTCCGTTTATTTAATAAACAGTAAATTTATTCTCGAATATAAAGACCTGTAGATAAATAAATAAACGAAGCGTCTACTCAAATACTAAAAATAACGTTCAAGTAATATGTATATAATTGTATCTATCTATCTACTTAGCTATCTCTCTCTCTCTATATATATATATATATATATATATATATATATATATATATATATATATATATATATATACAGACATTCCGAGAGAAAATATGTAGTCAAATGCAAGTTAATAGGCGATCAAATTGTTAAGGATACACACACTCACAAACAAACACACGCCATATATATATATATATATATATATATATATATATATATATATATATTGATAGATAGATAGATAGACGTAGGTAGTTTATTTGACTCTACATTTGGGTAACTCAATAACTTCGGACCTAACGATGAAAAAAATATTCTATACAACAAATATTTATTTTTAATCTCTATATTATAATCTGCTTTTTTGTCAATGCACTTAATTCAGTGGTCTATATGGACATGCACCAATAAAACTGCAGCCTAAAAATGAAAGTACATTTATTGTACATAATAAATAATTATTATTCAATATAATTTTCTCCCTTGTCAATGCACTTGATTCAGGGGTGAATACGTAATTAAACCTATAAGCCTGCAGCCTAATTATTAAAAATGTATTCATTTTACGCAACAGATATTTAACTGTCAACATAATTTCTTTCCTTATCCATGCACTTAATCCACAGCTAAATTTGTGTCTATGTCATTCAGTCCACAGTTTAATGAAGAAAGTATTTGTCGACATAATCTCTTTTGTGAATGCACTTAATTCAGAGGTGAATATGTAGCTACATTATACAAATGATTGGTTTCGTTTGGTTTGTTTTGTTTAACGGCATATCAATACCTCA